CTACAGTCTGTTAAGGCTATACGGGGGATCTTTGTCTTTGTCTTGTTTGAGTGCGAGGAGCGGTGGTGCAGCGGTTAGCGCGCTGCGCTATGAATCTGGCGACCCGAGTTCGATTCCCGTTCATGGCCAACACCAGTGACGATTATCTGAACAAGTCGTGGGCCTCCACTAGGTCAGCTCGGCCTCAAATGGCCAACTTAGGGCGGTGTTTAATCATCGCCAGTGGGGAGACAAAGGCGGCCAGGCGTGGTCTGTGCTCGCTAACAGCACTTGACCAAAAGTCTGTGAAGGCTATACAGAGGATCTTTGTCTTTGTATCAGTATGATTATTCTACACCCGCACCCCCAACCCTCCCCTCCCCTTATTACCCTGCGGACAATTTCCCTTTATGTAGCTTCCCGGCCTCTAACCATCACCCAGCCTCTTACGGGTTTTTTATTTTGCGTGTGACTACTGTGGACACTTAATCGATGAGCCGAGCTTTATTTAATACTTTCATGCCACGGGACGGGGGCTTCGAGTGCCGTTTGCCAACTCCGCAAATTCCCAGTCGCCGCTCACTCACTCCCTATAGACGCTAACTTTCATCCTCGACCGGGTTATCCCAAACCAGAGACGGTTTCTTCATTAGGGCGATTGGGCGACGCACCACCAATGTCATTCAACCACAGAGTCACGCTAGCCGTCACTGTGCCTCTGGATATAGTCCAATCAGCGTCATGTCACGTTCTGTGGAGTACCGCCTCTTTTTGGGCGATTTCACTCCGGCTGAGAATCGCCCCGAGTGGCCCCATAGACTTACATTCAAAGATGTTTTTTTTCGAACGGGGGCGCTCCAATGCATTCTCTATGGCTTCCGGGAGGGCTCGCCCTAACGTGCTTACGTCATCATACGTGCTTACGTTATTATACGTAAGCACGTTTCATCCAACAATATAATTTGTGGCCACCTAGTGGAATCTTTAATAAAAGAAACTTGAGTGGTTTGTTTTAATAGTGAGTATAGAAACAAACAATATGTATTGTAAGAGTCACTTTATTTTCCTTAATATTAAAGAAGTGAAGTTGCCTTAACATGCTTTAGCTGTTAATTTATCCATTGCATGGGTGGACCTTATCCTTATCAATCATCCAGACATTTGCCCCCCCTGAGAGATTTTGCAGGAGCCGCCACTGTCCCAAACGCCTCTGGGTTCACCACCATCACCACCACCACAACTACCACCACGCCAATTGGCGTTCACTAACACTGGTCAACAATTCTAGATTTGAAGCTTTCGTGACTGCAAGGATTCATATTCTTGGATTTTTTCGGTAAAGTCACGTAGGTAAAAAATTAAAATTAATAAAAGTAAAATAAAAAATTAAATTAAAAATTAAAAATCACGACGTTTCGGAGGCAACACAAGCCCCCGTCTTCAGGTGGAACCGTCACAGCACGATAGCTGATACAGCTGTGTTAAAATATGGTGCTGTATAAGAACACTGGTCAACCAATAAAAAAACATTTTTTTCTGGCCTGGACTTTTGCAGCTGTTCTAGACTAATTTCAGGGTGCCGATTCCAAATCTGATCTCAGATTTGCTCTATCACATCTCATTTATATGCTATCGGCATACCCCGTTTGCATTGATTTTACCCGAAATTAACTCTGTCACTTATGATTGCAAGTTATTGCGAGTCAGTGAGTGCTTTAGTGTTCAAATATGGTGCCTGTATTTTTATGATAGTGTGTTTATAATATAATTTTATGTAGATATCCACATTTATTTAATATTTTTCTTCTGCAGTTTTTATTGAAAATGCAATATTTGATATCTCAAAAACCTGATGTGATAGACAAAAGCTGATGCCAGATTTGGAATCAGCACCCCAAAATTACCTTAAAACCATTTCGATTTAAGGCTTTCGTGACTGCAGGGATTCATCTTCTTGGTTCTTTCGGTAAAGTCACGTAGAAGGGAAGTAATAAAATAATAAAAATAAAACATAATAAAATAATAAAAATAAAACATAATAAAATAATTCAGACGCTGTCTCCCCGACAGACCTGGTCTTCACCTGAGGACGGCTGCTTGCGTTGTGGCCGAAACGTCGTGAGAATTATTTTATTATGTTTTATTTTTATTATTTTATTATGTTTTATTTTTATTATTTTATTACTTTCCTTCTACGTGACTTTTACCGAAAGAACCAAAAAGATGAAATAACATTTTTTTTAGTTTATAGTTTTATTTTATCGGATCTGGAGAAAGGGATGATGATGAGCTGAGTCAATGCTTCTGATCGCCGGCCGCTCGCTCTATCGCAGAGTCTTGCATTGAGCAAAGTTGTTTTTTTGTTTTTTTTGTTTCTTAGAACTTGGGAGGGAGGGGGGAGATGGCGAGAGGGGGAGGGAGGGGAGAGGATTCCAGAGTGGAGCGGTTTGAGGGAAGAAGGGAGGAGACCTCTGGTGTGGTGAGTGAGTGAGTAGGTGGGTGGTTAGGTGGGTGGGTGAGTAGGTGGGTGAGTGGGTGGGTGGTTAGGTCGATGGGTGTGTGGGTGGGTGGGTGATTTGGTGGGTGGGTGAGTGGGTGGGTGGGTGAGTAGATGGGTGGGTAGGTGAGTGGGTGGGTGAGTGAGTGAGTAGGTGGGTGAGTAGGTGGGTGGGTGAGTGTGTGGGTGGGTGGGTGATTAGGTGGGTCGGTTGGTGAGTGGGTGAGTATGTGGGTGGGTGAGTGGGTGGGTGTTTAGGTGGGTGGGTGGGTGGGTGTGTGGGTGGGTGATTTGGTGGGTGAGTGAGTGAGTAGGTGGATGAGTAGATGGGTGGGTAGGTGTGTGGGTGGGTGTGTGATTAGGTGGGTGGGTGAGTGAGTGAGTACGTGGGTGAGTAGGTGTGTGGGTGGGTGTGTGGGTGGGTGTGTGATTAGGTGGGTGGGTGAGTGAGTGAGTGAGTACGTGGGTGAGTAGGTGGGTGGGTGGGTGTGTGGGTGGGTGTGTGATTAGGTGGGTGGGTGAGTGAGTGAGTACGTGGGTGAGTAGGTGGGTGGGTGGGTGTGTGGGTGGGTGTGTGATTAGGTGGGTGGGTGAGTGAGTGAGTGAGTACGTGGGTGAGTACGTGGGTGGGTGGGTGTGTGGGTGGGTGTGTGATTAGGTGGGTGGGTGAGTGAGTGAGCGGGTGATTGGGTCGGTGGGTGAGTTAGTGAGTACGTGGGTGAGTAGGTGGGTGGGTGAGTGTGTGAGTGGGTGGGTGATTAGGTGGGTCGGTGGGTGGGTGAGTGGGTAGGTGAGTGGGTGGTAGAGTGGGTGAGTGTGTGGGTGATTGGGTGGGTGGGTGAGTGAGTGGATGTCTGATTGGTGGGTCGGTGAGTGAGTAAGTGGGTGAGGGAGGGAGTGGGTGGGTGGGTGAGTGGGCGAGGGAGGGAGTGGGTGGGTAGGTGGATGGATGGGTGGGTGAGTGAGTGAGTGGGTGAGTGAGGGGGGGAGTGAGTGAGTGAGGGAGGGAGTGAGTGAGTGGGTGGGTGAGTGTGTGGGTGAGTGAGGGAGGGGGTGGGTGGGTGGGTGAGTGAGCGAGTGGGTGAGTGAGCGAGTGGGTGGGTGAGTGAGTGAGTGAGTGGGTGAGGGAGGGAGGGAGGGAGTGGGTGGGTGAGTGAGCGAGTGGGTGAGTGAGCGAGTGGGTGAGTGAGTGAGTGGGTGAGGGAGGGAGGGGAGGGAGGGAGGGAGGGAGGGAGGGGAGTGGGTGGGTAGGTGGGTGAGGGAGGGAGGGAGGGAGGGAGGGAGGGAGGGAGGGAGGGAGTGGGTGGCTGGGTGGGTGAGTGGGTGGGTGAGGGAGGGAGGGAGGGAGGGAGGGAGTGGGTGGGTAGGTGGGTGAGTGAGTGGGTGAGTGGGTGGGTGAGTGGGTGGGTGGGTGGGTGAGCGAGTGGGTTAGTGGGTGAGTGGGTGGGTGGGTGAGCGAGTGACGGATGCGTGGGGATCGCTTCTGACCTCGTGGCTTTTAAATCCCAAGAACAAATCCCCACCAAGTAAAGCGAAGTCCGCCACTTAGTTTGGGATTAGCCCGGATTTAAATCATTCACTTACTCATTCACTCGCTCAGTCAATTAGTTTGCCTGATCGCTCACTCGTGAACTCACTCATTCATTGAGTTTTTCACTCACTCACCTTCTTACACACAAATTCACTCGTTTGGCTGATCACTCACACGCTCATTCATTCACTGCTCACTTTCATCATTCTCTAGATCAATCTTTCATTGATTTTCTCACTCACTCGTTCACACATTCAGTCACTCACGCATCAAGCCGCTTACTCGCCCAGCTCATTCTATTCATGAATCACTCAATCACACGTGCGTCTCACCTGTCGGATAACTCGCTTATTCAGTCACACTCATTCACTCACTCAATCATTAACTCATTCGCTCGCACATCATCACTCAACCACTCACTCGCTCATTCACTCACACATCCACCTAACCACTGGCTCACTCATTCACCCATCCACCTACCCACTCACTCACTCATCCACCTACCCACTCGCTCACTCACTCACCCATCAACCTACCCACTCACTCACACATCCACCTACCCACTCGCTCACTCACTCACACATCCACCCACTCACTCGCTCACTCACACATCCACCTACCCACTCGCTCACTCACCCATCAACCTACCCACTCACTCATCCACTCACTCACACATCAACCTACCCACTCACTCGCTCACTCACTCACCCATCCACCTACCCACTCACTCGCTCACTCACTCTCCCATCAAGCTACCCACTCACTCGCTCACTCGTTTGCTCATTCACTCATCCATCAACCTACCCACTCACTCGCTCACTCACACATCCACCTGCCCAATCGCTCACTCACTCACACATCCACCTACCCACTCACTCGCTCACTCGTTTGCTCATTCACTCACTCATCAACCTACTCACTCACTCACCCACACACCTCACCCGCTCACTCACTCAAGTAACGCAATGCTTGCGCGTGTGTTTGCGTCAACAGATCCCACGGATTCCTCGTGAGAGATTGCAACACGGCGGGGATGATGGTGATGATGGTGGTGATGGTGGTGATGGTGATGATGGTGATGATGGTGATGATGATGATGATGGTGGTGATGATGGTGATGATGGTGATGATGGTGATGATGATGGTGATGATGGTGGTGGTGGTGGTGGTGATGGTGATGATGGTGATGATGGTGATGGTGGTGATGATGGTGATGATGGTGATGATGGTGGTGATGGTGATGATGGTGATGATGGTGGTGATGATGCTGATGATGGTGATGATGGTGGTGATGATGGTGATGGTGATGATGATGGTGATGATGGTGATGATGGTGGTGGTGATGACGACGATGTCATCGCGACCGAAGATAATTTTCCACGCAAAAACATATCAGAAAAAATATCTTGAAATTATGATGATGATGTTGATGATTGAATAAACTTTCTTTAAATCATTAATTAATGCTTAATTCTAACTGCGACTTCCTGCCTCGTGTCACGCGCATTTCACTGGTCAACACACTTCTTCTGGCATAAGGTATTCCAACGGTTTTAAGGTAATTTTGGAGTGCTGATTTCAAATCTGGCATCAGTTTTTTTTCCATCACATCAGGTTTTTGAGATATCAAATATTGCATTTTCAATAAAAACTGCAGAAGAAAAATATTAAACAAATGTGGATATCTACATAAAATGATGATATTATAAACACACTATCCTAAAAATACAGCACCATATTTTAACACTAAAGCAGTCACTGACTCGCAACAACTTGCAATCATAAGTGACAGAGTTAATTTCGGGTAAAATCAATGAAAATGGGGTATGCCGATAGCATAAAAATGAGATGTGATAGAGCAAATCTGAGATCAGATTTGGAATCAGCACCCTGAAATTAGTCTAAACAGCTGCAAAAGTCCAGGCCAGAAAAAAATGTTGTTTTGTTGTTGACCAGTGTTATCAGTGGGGGTTAGAGACTCACACAAATATCGATCATCGCCACTGATGTTACTGGCCGCGAACGGGAATGGAACTCGGGACACCGGGTTCGTAGCGCAGAGGGCTAACCACTGCGCCACCACTCCCCTGAGATACATACACACACACAAAGACAAAGATCCCCCCGGTAGCCTGCGCAGGCTGTCGGGGCAAGTGTTGCCAGCGAGCGGCACCTGTGAAGGTCGCAACGGCACATGATGAGGTTGGATGGACAACACCACGCCCGGCCGCCTTTGTCTTCCCGCACATCGCAAACCAGGAGACTCGTTTGAGGCTGAGCCGACCTAGAGGGGGAGGCCCAGGACCGACTCGGATAACCGTGGCCGTGAGCTGGAGTGGAACTCGGGTCGACCGGTTCGTAGCACTGCTACACTCGCCAGTGATACGAATATCCACGCAGATGAATGCGGATTTTAAATCAGAATATTGTCATGATTATTATGACTTTTAATTTCGATTTAAAGCTTTCGTGACTGCAGGGATTCATCCGCTTGGTTCTTTCGGTAAAGTTACGTAGAAGGGAAATAATAAAATAATAAAAATAAAACATAGTAAAATAATTCTCACGACGTTTCGACCACAACGCAAGCAGCCGTCCTCAGGTGAAGAACAGGTCTGTCGGGGAGACAGTGTCTGACACTGTCTTTCCGACAGACCTGTTCTTCATCTGAGGACGGCTGCTTGCGTTGTGTCTGACACAGTGTCTGACACTGTCTTTCCGACAGACCTGTTCTTCACCTGAGGACGGCTGCTTGCGTTGTGGCCGAAACGTCGTGAGAATTATTTTATTATGTTTTATTTATTTTATTTTATTATTTTTATGACTTTGTGAATATGAATTCGGAATTCTGAGCAGCTGGGTACGTGCACGAGAGATGGGATAACGCTTAGCGATTTGAATAGGCACACCTGTTTAGTGGTTGTGGTGGGATTTCGAGAGAGACACGGAGAGCGAGATACAGAGAGAGATGAAACGAGAGAGGGAGGGAGAGAGAGAAGATGACTTTCATGTTGAGATTATTCATATTTAGCAATTCTGTGCCCCATTAACTCCCTCCGACCGCAAACCATTCACTCGTTCGCCCACACAAACACGACGGGGCTTTGAACTGGTGAATTATTAACATCGAAAACGTGACATAATACGCAATGTTTAATTGTACACAATGCATATTGCATGCGACGTTAATTGCATAGCATCGTAGATTGGTACAATGATGTACATTGTATACGGTATATTTATATTGTGAAATGCACACATACTGCATTGCGTGCATAATTCATTGTGTATAATATACTGATAATTAGTTTGCAATGTTGGTTTAATATACAATGTTAGAATGGTAAGAAATGTATGTTGTAGATAACAGACATTTCATATATTATAAGAATTGTAGAAAAGATACATTTATATATAATATATAAGACTCAAAGCTTCACCACACAGAGACCCACAGACTCACCACACAGAGACCCGTAGACTCAACACACAAGGACCCATAGACCCACCACACAAAGACCCATAGACTCATCACAGACAGACCCACAGACTCATCACACAAAGACACATAGACTCACCACACTGAGACCCACAGACTCACCACACAGAGACCCATATACTCACCACACAGAGACCCATAGACTCACCACACAGAGACCCATAGACTCACCACACAGAACCCATATACTCATCACAGACAGACCCACAGACTCATCACACAAAGACACATAGACTCACCACACTGAGACCCACAGACTCACCACACAGAGACCCATAGACTCACCACACAGAGACCCACAAACTTACCACACAGACACTCATAGATTCACCACACAGAGACCCATAGACTCAACACACAGAGACCCATAGACTCATCACACAGACACCCATAGATTCACCACACAGAGACCCATAGACTCACACAGAGACCCATAGATTCACCACACAGAGACACATAGACTCCCCACACAGAGACCCATAGACTCACCACACAGAGACCCACAGACTCACCACACAGAGAACCATAGACTCACCACACAGAGACCCACAGACTCACACAGAGACCCACAGACTCACACAGAGACCCACAGACTCAATTGTAGACGTTCGCAGTGGGTTTACTCTCCAACCGTCCCGTTCTGCTCCCATCGTGATCCGACCGCGTCGGGTGGAGGAGGGCGGCCACGACACACAATCTACTCGCCCGCGATCTTTAACCACTGCACCGGTCGCACGCACACACAACAACAACAACAACGCAACAACAACAACTTAATTTGGAGCTTTCGTGACTGCAGGAATTATTCTTTGGTTCTTTCGGAAAAGTGACGTATAAAGATAAAATAACAAAATAAATTAAATACTAGCATAGGACGTTTCGATTGCAACACAAGCAATCATCATCAGGTATAAATAAAATAGAAACACAAATCTAGTGTGCTTATAAATGCAATGTAACACAACAGAGAGTCGGATAACATAACAGTCAACACCCTACCTGGTTGATTACAACAACAACAACAACCCAACAAAAACGACACCCTCCCTCCCCTCCCCCCACACACTTTGCCGTGAATGTTATCGGTCGGCAAAATGCCCTCCGCGTGCCGCCTTTTCGTCGGAGTTAACTAGACGTGGTTGACGTTTGACGCCCTCGGTTTAGAGGTCGATCTGCGTCATCATCGTCCACCCCCCCTCCCACTCACCCTCAGGCATGGGCCACGTGCCCTGGGTAATGACTGCAGAGGATGAGATCTCGGCTTGCAAGGGGGAGCAAAATTAGTTTTTGTATTTTTTCTCTTCTTGGTTCTTTCGGTAAAAGTCACGTGGAAGAGAAATAATAAAAAAAAACATAATAAAATGATATAATAGAATAAAATAATAAAATAATATAAAATACTGATATAATAAAATAATGTACTAATATTATACAATAAAATAATATTATATTATTGTATTTCGAGTTAAAGCTTTCGTGACTGCAGGGATTTATCTTCTTGGTTCTTTCGGTAAAGTCATCACGGAGAAGAGAAATAATAAAATAATAAAAAATAAAACGTCGTGATTTTTATTTTATTTTTAATTTACTTTTATTAATTTTAATTTTTTACCTACGTGACTTTACCGAAAAAAACCTAAGAATATTTTATAATGTCCATGAATGTTTTCAAACCTATTGGTTACCACTTGTTTTAATTATACCACAGTTTTGCTAAGGACCTGGGTTCGATTCCTGGGTCTGGGTGTCTCTCTCTCTCAGTGTTGGTTGACAATGGATATTTCAGAGACACGTACCTAACACTGCTAAGAACCTGGGTTAGATTCCTGGGTCTGGTGTCTCTCTCTCTCTCTGTGAGGGTTAACAATGGATATTTCAGAGCAACGTACCTAACACTGCTAAGACCCTGGATTCGATCCCTAGGTCTGGGTGTCTCTCTCAGTGAGGGTTGACAATGCATATTTCAGAGACACGTACCTAACACTGCTAAGAACCTGGGTTCGATTCCTGGGTCTGGGTGTCTCTCTCTCTCTCTCTGTGAGGGTTAACAATTGATAATTCAGAGACACGTACCTAACACTGCTAAGAACCTGGGTTCGAGTCCTGGGTATGGGTGTCTTTCTCTCTCAGTGTTGGTTGACAATGGATATTTCAGAGACACGTACCTAACACTGCTAAGAACATGGGTTCGAGTCCTGGGTCTGGGTGTCTCTCTCTCTCAGTGAGGGTTAACAATGGATATTAAGAGACACGTACCTAACACTGCTAAGAACCTGGGTTAGATTCCTGGGTCTGGTGTCTCTCTCTCTGTGAGGGTTAACAATGGATATTTAAGAGACACGTACCTAACACTGCTAAGAACCTGGGTTCGATTCCTGGGTCTGGGTGTCTCTCTCAGTGAAGGTTGACAATGCATATTTCAGATACACGTACCTAACACTGCTAAGAACCTGGGTTCGATTCCTGGGTCTGGGGGTCTCTCTCTCTCTCTCTCTGTGAGGGTTAACAATTGATAATTCAGAGACACGTACCTAACACTGCTAAGAACCTGGGTTCGAGTCCTGGGTATAGGTGTCTTTCTCTCTCAGTGTGGGTTGACAATGGATATTCCAGAGACACGTACCTAACACTGCTAAGAACCTGGGTTAGATCCCTGGGTCTGGGTGTCTCTCTCAATGAGGGTTAACAATTGATAATTCAGAGACACGTACCTAACACTGCTAAGAACCTGGGTTCGAGTCCTGGGTATGGGTGTCTTTCTCTCTCAGTGTGGGTTGACAATGGATATTCCAGAGACACGTACCTAACACTGCTAAGAACCTGGGTTCGATTCCTGGGTCTGGGTGTCTCTCTCTCTCTCTCTCGGTTAACAATTGATAATTCAGAGACACGTACCTAACACTGCTAAGAACCTGGGTTCGATTCCTGGGTCTGGGTGTCTCTCACTCTCTCTCTGTGAGGGTTAACAATGGATATTTAAGAGACACGCACCTAACACTGCTAAGGACCTGGGTTAGAGCCCTATGTCTGGCTCTAGCTCTCATT